GAAGAAGGGTCTCGGCCCAAAACGTCAGCCTTCCTGCTCCTCTGATGCTGCTTGGCCTGCTGTGTTCATCCAGCTCTACACCTTATTATCTAGGGCTCCCCAGCAGCTAGTTTTAGCAAACCCGCTGGGTACCAGAGACCTAAGCAACAGGTACTGATGGTGCAAACTCCCTTCTAAAAGCAGAGGTCGGCTTGTTAAAATGAAGATTTGAAATTAGTATTGGGAACGTGATTGTTCAACTAATCAATGCACTGTGTACAGAGAATATGGTATATGTTCACGCTCTGCTGTTTTAATGGATATGTTACCCTATCTGGGGGAGTTTCTTGATGACTCTGGAATAGGTTTTCCCACCTTAGTAATTAGACTATCCAATGTGGAGCTGGGAAGGTTTGCCGAGTTGTTGGAAAATTGACAACAATCTGCCTCTTTGCAGCAGGTCTAAAAAAGATCAAGAAGTCACATTCAGGGTTGAATTGTATGTTCCACAGCCCTTTACAGCCAGTTAGGTATTTTGAACTGTGTTCACTATTGTACCATAGGAAATGTATTAATTGATGGCAAATTCTGATTATTTTTTAGTGATTCCTGTATTTGACCAAATTGTTCTTAATCTCTCATGCTGTTTAAAACCCTCAACATTTGATGGATATCTTTAAGCCAAACTGCAGGAACATACGAGTCATGGTTTTACATTCTGTTTGATATCAGTCTCTACTAAGTTAAATGGAAAATTTAAATCAGTAGTGTTTTAAACTAGTATAGTACCCAGACAACTTCAGTTAAGATAGGGTTCCCTTAAACTTTTAGGTGATGTGAGCATCACTGTCATTTATTGACAGTGGAGAAAGTGGTGCGAAATGCCTCGAAAGGCTGCATTGTAGATGATGTCGGGGACACACTCAGCACTATTAGGAAGGGAGTTCCAGGATTTATATCCAGTATAGTGGACGAACAATGATATTGTTCTAAAATTGGGAAGGTATATGATTTTGAGGGGAACTGAAGATGGTAGTGTTGCCATACACTTGCTGTCCATGTCCTTCTAGGTACAATTTAGTTGTGGGTTTGGAATGTGGTGTTGAAGAAGGGGCCATGGTGAGTTTGTGTTTATTTTATATGGGACATACTGCACTGTGCATCAGTGGTGTAGGGAGTAAATGTTGAATGTTGTGGATAGAGTGCTAATCATTGGGCTGTATTGTACTGAATGGTGTTTAGCTTTGTAAATGTTGTTGGAGCTGCACTTGTTCAGCCAAGTTGAAAGGTCGTCCTTCATTTTCCTGACTTAGATTTATAGATGGTGAACAGGCAGTAGGGAGACGGGAGCTGAGTTACTCATTGCAGAGTTCCTAGCCTCTGACCTGTTCTAGTAGCTACAGTATTTATGATGACTGGTGCAGTTCAGTTTCTGGTCAATGGTAAGCCCCATGGTATTGATAGTGGGGGATTCAGTGATGGTAATGCCTTGGAATGTCAAGGAATGAGGGTTGGATTCTCTCTTGTTGGAATGGATCATTGCCTGGCACCTATGTGGTGGAGATGTAAATTGCTACTTGTCAGCCTAAGCCTGGATTTTTGCTGCATTTGAACAAGGACTTCCTTAGTACCTTTGGAGTCATAAATGGTGCGGAACATTGTGCAATCATCAGCAATTATCCCTACTTTGGACCTCTTTATGGAGGGAAGGTCATTGATGAAGGAGCTGAAGGTGTTAGATCTGAGGTCTTAGGTGTAACCCTGAGGATCTCATGCAGTGATATCCTGGTACTGCAATCACTGACCCACTACAGCCACAGCCATATTCCTTTGTGCAATGGCTTCAGTTTTTTGGTATGAAATCTTGATGCCGCACATACTGCCTTGATCTCAAATCCAGTCACTCTCACCTCACCTCTGGAGTTCAGCTCTTCTGTCCACGTTTGGACAATGGAGTGAGGAGCTGAGTGGCCCTGGTGGAACTCAAATACTGAGTGGGTGACCAGTTTATTGTTGAGTGAGTGCCACTTGATAGCACTGTCAATGACACCTTCCATTGTTTTGCTGATGATAGTGTGTCAAGGTTCACATAACTCATTGCAGCGGACATTACTTTATCAGAGGGTGTACATTACCAATACCATGATGTGAGAAAATAGTCAGAATGATATAGAAAATAATCCATACCAATCATACTCATTTTGATGACTTGTGCAGTTAATCTGCTATATAACGAATGAGTTTGTTGGTGGGATTTGTTGTATATTGTGTGTTGTGTTTCAAATTCTATTAGATTTCATTCTTTTAATAGGATTTTTATCAATCCCTAAAGAGCTTAATGGAGATTTAATTCACTCATTTAAAATCCCAGTACACTGGTCTGGTAGCTTCCTAGCAGAATACTGTTTGTCCTGCAACAAAAAACAACACTTCAATTTATTTAACACAATTAACGTGGAAAAAAGTCCCCCGGACCACGCTTTGTAGAGGTGTAATCAGACAAAGACAACACAAGGGACATCGTACTGACTGAAAACGATGGTTTAAGCTGGTGAGAAAGGTTCATTTTGAGGAGGAATTTTCATTGTATGGAGACTTTTCGTTTTAAGGCAAGACCATTACTGTGGGGTTAAGGGAGGGACAGATGCACAAAAGGTAAGAATTAAAAGGAATGGACAATTTTTAAAGGAAGATGTGTTCTGGGGCTGAATGATGTCAAAGAGGGGAAAGGTGATGAATGGATTTAGTTGTGTTGGATATGAGTTCTAAATTTGAGGCATTGAAATATTACGCCATTGTATGGCACCAAAATCAGTGCTGATGATTGAGTATGATTTTCTGGAGCACCGAATCCATGCAGCAGAGATTTGGATGAGTGAAAATTTGAGGGGAAACCAGTCACCCGAACATCAAGTCTGGAAGTGTTATAAATGTGAGAGAGGGTTTCAGCAGCAGATACCAGATGCAGATAATGATACTGAGGTAAAAGCACTCAGCCTTCATAATGGGAAAGATATAGTTTAAGAGCTTGGGTCAGGAAGGATTTGCGATGTGGAGATCGCAAGAAATGTTATTCAAGCTGAAACTATGGTTGGGGTCGGCGTTAAGGGCAACGTGTTTATGGTGTGGCTAAAAATGATGACGTCAGTCCTCCCAGTGTTTAAGCTGAAAAGAAATTGTAGTTGTGCAGGTCTGGATAGTGAGCAAGCAATCGAACAGCACAGAGATAGTGGGACAGTTGGGTGTCATTAGCATTGCATGTGGAAAGTGACCTTAAGTGGGAAGAGGAAAGAGTTCCTACGCTCATTGTTATTCTGCAGCAGAGGGGAGGGAATGGAGGTGCTCAGTTTGCTTATGTGTGTATGTGTATAGGGAGGTAATGCCATTCCAAGTTTTGTAACCTCTTGGCACTTACTGATAGGGTTTGTACATAAGGAATGGCTCTCGTGTGAGATACGAGAAGGCTGATGGAGCTGTGGAAACATAATGGAGAGAAATGCCTGTTTTAAAAATAAGACATACACATGAACACGTACATCCCTGTTCATAATTATCAGCCTGAAGATGCATAATTTTATAAACCCATGCCTAATTATAAAGTCCAAGCATGGAAATCCAATACATAAATGACTTTACGTCAGGATCCAATTAAGATCTTGGCCTCACAGCAAATATATATAATCCTAACAACTCTATAATGCTAATCAAAGTGTAACTGATTCCCTCGGTATTCCACCTCACTCCTCAGCATGTTGTACAGCATCAGTGCAGAACTGAATGGCGGCGTGGTGGCTCAGTGGTTAGCACTGCTGCCTCACAGTACAGAGAGCTGGGTCCGATTCCAGCCTCGGGCGACTGTCTGTGTGACGTTTGCACATAATCCCCACGCCTGCGCGGGTTTCCACCCACAGTCCAAAGATGTACACGTTGGGTGGATTGGCCATTGGAAATGTAGAGTTATAGGGTGGGTCTGAGTAGGATGCTGTTCAAAGGGTAGGTATGGACTTAATGGGCTGAATGGCCTACTTCCACACTGTAGGGATTCTATGATTCTAACTATTTCCTTATCAAGTGTAGCAGATTCTTCCTATCCTTCACAAACCTGAGGAAATTTTGACAGGAAATGACACACACACCCCCCTCCACATTTTATACAGAAAATTGCACGTTCAGCATGAATATCTGTGAATTTATTTTTAATAATTCTCAATTACTGTGAAAATTGTGCTTGATATCACTTTAAGAGGGAATATGCTAATGAGGTAGAAACCAGGATGTTAGTCACAGTTTCTACAGCCATTGTCAGTCTAACTTGCGACATGTCATTGCGAGTAAGGGTAGCTGTGTGTTCCTAAATGGCTAAACTTCTGTAACCAATCTGTACACTGAACAATTCTGTAACAGACCTACAGTTAAACAGAACTGTGATAACTTGGGGAAACCTGACTGGAAATGAACATTGTGGGCACAGGAAACCAGGCTTGGGATATGGTTCACCAAGGGATTTTTCTAGAGCCAACAACTGCACTGGAAAGGTCCAGCCTATTTATTTGTAATGAGCAGACCAGAGATGCAGTGTTCCCACCAATTGCAGAGACCTATAAGGATCTGAAATCTCCATTTTTAAGGGGTCATAAGGAATGCCCAAAGAATTGCAGTAAATGCATTACATTGCCAAAAGCTATATTGCACTGTATTTATCAAGGCTCAATTAGTTGACATTAGTTAGCATGGCAGAAAGGCCACTATGATTGGGTCTCTAAGAGTAACTTCTGGATTCTATGTTGAGTGTCTGTGCTGAGCAGTGATATTTTATTAGAGCACTATAGACTGTTGACATGTAGAATTTACAGGCATCTATGTAGAATGTCCATCCAAATGGGGAATCATAAGCTAAGTTGGACCTAAACTGCCCCCAAAAAAAGAGATCAGGATCATTTGCTAGGAAACATCCATGTGCCATATGTTGAGTCACTCACCAATGAACTTTCTTTACCCAGACTCTGGCTGATGACGATTATTCCGACCCATTTGATATCCGGCACGAATCCAGAGGAGAGATGAATGACAAAGAAGAAGTTGAGAACAATGGCTACATGGAGCCATATGAAGCGCAGAGAGTTATAGCAGGTGGGTGCAATCCATTTTTTAAGGCTACTTGGCAAAGATACATGGTGAGGTACTGTCTTCGAGTGCTTCTGATGTTAATCTGAAGGTCAAGGGTTTAAATTCCTGGTTGAGTTTAATTTCCCGTTTGAGTACTGCATTCAGCAGAGAAGCTGGTGTCAGGGAAGGTTAAGGGGAGAATTAACAGAGCTGCTCAAAATTCCGAGAGGTTTTGATAGATTTTACATTGCAAGCTGTTACGGTGTGGAAGGATCTGTTTGAAAATGTGTTGGAAGCAGATTCAATGTTAATTTTCAAAAGTAAATATAGACTTGGAAAAAAAAAATTAAGATTAAAAGGAAGGAGCAGCGAAGTGGCACTGGTTGCACAGATCTTTCAGAGTCCGCATCTGCAGATGGACTGAACAGCCTCTGTTTGTGATGCCATTCTGTAATGTATTGTCTAAATATCATCAACTAACAACAGAATTAAGAGGACTGTTTGCAGAGCATTTTGAAGTCTATAATGATCTTTTTCTGAATACTGTGTTAAAGTCTCCAACTGAAGTTCTTCATTAAAGATTGTAAATGTTTTCAAAGTTAAAATAAAGGTTTATAAGGACTCGCATTACATTCTAAGAGTCAGGCAGTTCTTGGTTCCAATACCACTGCACCCCACCAGCTGGAGCTTCACAGAAGGCAATCTTGAGCTGCCAATCTATGCAATGGATGAGCCAAGGAAAACTGATGCTGAGCTTTTTCATACCAGCCACAAAATATTTTTCAAACTATTTTCCTTATGACCTAACTTATGAAGAGGTCTATGAATTTTAAAATTTTCTCCATTTATGGTACCTTTGCATTATGCAGTCTGTTCGCTTTCCATTATCTCTCAATTTACACCAACTTCTCTCTTGCCATTTTCAACAGCTGCATGTCATTTTATTTTAAACATTCGTTTATGGGATATGGGCATTTCTGGCTATGCTAGCACTTATTATTCATTGGACAGAGTCAACCACATCCCTGTACATCTAGGGTCAGATGTGGACCAGATCAGGCAGATTTTCTTCCGTAAAAGGCATTTGTGGAGCAAGTAGGTTTTTACAGCAATTAGCTAGCCAGCATTTTATTCTAGTTTTATATTAAAGTCAAATTTCACTATCTGCCGTGGTGAGATTCGAACTCTTGTTCCCAGAATGCTAGCCTAAGTTTCTAGATTACAAGTCCAGTGATATTGCCACTGTCCTGCTACCTCTTGTTAGAGCCATAGAGATGTACAGCACGGGAACAGACCCTTCAGTCCAGCTCGTCCATGCCAACCACATATCCTAAATTAATCTAGTCCTATTTGCCAGCATTTGGCCCATATCCCTGTAAACCCTTCCTATTCATGTACCCATTCAAACGTTTTTTAAATGTTGTAATTGTACCAGCCTCCACCAGTTCCTCTGGCAACTCATTCCATACATGCATCACCCTCTGCACGAAGAAGTTGCCCCTTAAGAATCTTTTTAAATCTTCCCCTCTCTTTAAACCTATGCCATCTAGTTTTGGATTCCTCTACTTTGACTGTTTTGACCCTTCATCTAGATTTACCTAAATTTCCACTGGATTGTGCAATTCGAGGGTACTTAATTAGCTATAAACTGTATTGTGATATTGTGAGGTTGTGAAAGGCATTACATAAATGAGAGATCTGTCTGTCTTAATTAAAGAGACCATTGGCTGTCAGTCAGGATGATTGGAAACAATAGAACTTTGCATAATATTTTCAATTCACTGAACTGATTCATACTTGCTTAACTGAGAGACTCACTGTTACAGTTTGAATGCCTTAATCAAGGCAACTGGAAAATGGCCATTTTTGCAGAATATGATCCTAAAAATCCCCTTAATCCAATGTCCTATAAAAGATATCTTACTCAATTATCCATCACAAGCTTCTGACCATAAACACCATCGGTTGTCACATGTTGGAGTGTCGTGGGGTCTTCTGAGATTCTGAACTAAATCTGATTGGATTATACTGAAGTGATTTATAGTATTGTACCAGTATTATGTTCACTTTATGTTGTGTTCAATCTGGGTGGTGTTTAATATTGCAATCTGTCACGCAGTTAAAGGCTAGCAAGCAATACTAGGTTCTTAATTGTTTTTTAATGACTCCAGGAAATACTTACCTCCAATTGTTGATGCCAAGTAGTCTCCAAACTAGTGGAAAATCTACCACTTGTTATTTAATAGCACTCAAAATCAACTAATTATTTCCACTATGTCTGTTCGCTAAATGAAGAGTCAAATCTGCACCACAATCTTAAAATGCCAGGGGATAAATACAGAATATTCCCCAAAATGCCAAGTATGGTGAAGCAGCGTATGTATAAACTGGGAGGCATGGAAGCATTAGACCACTTTAGAAAGTAAAATCGAATGTTGACTTTTCAAAAATTAACACCCACGCTCGGACATCTTATTTTTAACCCTGCCTTAAATTAAATAAATTCTTTCACAAGTCACAACCAAGGTTGAACCCAAAAAGCTTAAAATCAGAGATAACACAGTGTGGACCTGGAGCAACACAGCAGGCCAGACAGCATCGGAGGAGCAGGAAAGCTGACGTTTCGGGTCGGGACCCTTCTTCAGAAAAAGGGTCATCCTGCTCCCCTGACGCTGCCTGGCCTAGTGTGTTCCTCCAGGTCCACACTGTGTTATCTGTTGTCTCCAGCATTGAGAGTTCTTACTATGTCTAAGCTTAAAATCTTCTTTCTTTTCAAATGTTATATTCTGGTTGATTTGCTAATGTTAGCATGATCCCCTTTGTAGCAACTCCATCCTATAACTCGGCAGTTTGTGGTTTGAAACCCATGGCTTGGAGCCATATGCAGCCTGGTACTCCCATGGAACTCTCAGACAGTGCTGCATTGGCAGAATTGTCATCTTTCAGGCAAGATATTAAGCCAAAGTCCCATTTGTCTGTTCAATTAGATATAAAGAGGAGCAGGGAATTCTTAGAGTCGTAGAGATGTACAGCACGGAAACAGACCCTTTGGTCCAATTCGTCCGTGCCAACCAGATATCCTTAAATTAATCTTGTCTCATTTGCCAGCATTTGGCCCCTATGCCTCTAAACCCTTCCTGTTCATGTAATCATCCAGATGCCTTTTAAATGTAATTATACCAGCCTCCATCACTTCCTCTGGCAGCTCATTATACACACACGTACACACACCCCTCTGCATGAAAAGGTTGCCCCTCAGGTCACCTTTTTCAGGTCTCTCCTTAAACCTATGCCCTCTAATTTTGGACTCCCCTACCCTAGAGAAAAAAATCTTCACTATTTATCCTATCCATGCCCCTCATGATTTTATAAACCTCTATAAGGTCTCCCCTCAGCCTCCAATGCTTTAGGGAAAATAGACCCAGCCTATTCAGCCTCGCCCTATAACTCAAAACCTTCCAACTCAAGCAACATCCTTGTAAATCTTTTCTGCATCCTTTCAAGATTAACAACATCATTCCCATAGCAGGGAGACTAGAATTGAATGCAGTATTCCAAAAGTGGCCTAACCAATGTCCTGTACAACATGGCATCCCAACCCCTATACTTAATGAACTGACCCATAAAGTCAAGTGTATGAAATGCCTTCTACACCACCCTGTCTACCTGTAACTCCACTTTCAAGGAACTATGAATGTGCACCCCAAGGTCTCTTTATTTGGCAACACTCTTGAGAACGCTATGATTACGTGTATAAGTCCTGCACTGATTTGCCTTACCAAAATGCAACACCTCAAGTTTATCCAAGTTAAACCCCATCTGCCACTCCTTGACCCTTTGGCCCATCTGATCAAAGTCCTGTTGTACTCTGAGGTAACCTTCACTGTCCATGACACCACTAATTTTGATGTTATCTCCAAACTTACTAACCATTCCTCCCATATTCACATCCAAATCATTTATATGAACGACAAAAATCAGTGAATACCGTACTGATCCTGGTGGCACATCACTGGTCACAGGTCTCCAAGCAAAAAAACAACCCTCCGCCACCACCCTCTGTCTCTTACCTTCGAACCAATTTTGTATCCAAATGGCTAGTTCTCCCTGGATTCCATGTGATCTAACCTTGCTAACCAGTCTACCATGCGGAACCTTGTCAAACTTCTTGTGGAGATTCTTATAGTTGACATCCACCATTCTGTGTTCATCAGTCTTCTTTGTCACTTCTTCCATAAACTTGATCAAGTTAATGAGACAAGATTGCCTGCTCACAAAGCCATGTTGACTATCCTTAATCAGTCTTTGCCTTTCCAAATACATGTAAATCCTGCCCCTCAGAATCCCCTCCATCAACTTACCCACCACTGATGTCAGGCTCACTGGTTTATCAGTCCCTGGCTTTTCCTTACCACCTTTCTTAAATAATTCTTCTAATATTGCATCCAAAGTTCTCCCCCAGCTAACACCAATATTGAAGTTTGTTATTTGTCTGGTTTTTCTTTATACACACAGTGCCTAGCATGCTTGCTCACGTATCTTTGTCAGTGCATTTCAAAATTATTTCATTGTGTGAAACTCATTGATATAATTAACTTGACAACATGAAAAGAGAACAATTAACCCCTTGTGAGGAATTGGAATCAACAACATGCATCATGTCCCAAGGTCATTTTGCGTGTATCATCAGACACTTTCCCAATCAAACAGTTTTACATTGGGTGTTTGGTAAAATTTAATATGGATGTGTTGGTTTAATACTGGGATCGTTTGAGCTGTGAAAAAAAACAGACAGCCGTCTCTGTAACTGCTCATCTCCCAGTTGACACACATTCCTGTAACATTCAGAGCCGAGGACAAATACCTGCAGTTAATAGCTAAGAGGAAAAAGAATTGTCTTCTGGAGGAAAACAAAGATACTCAGGCAGTCCTGTAGATGTGTGATTCTCTCGGGTCAACGGAAGAGTATACAGCAATGTGTGTTACAGTACCGGTAAAATGGAGGGTGAGCAACATCTGTGGAT